GCAGGGGATGCCGTAGCATAGGGTCTGTGTCAATTAACTGTGACGCATTTTTATCATGATATGCATTCATTTCATTACCACAGTAGTATATGCAACATAATTATGCATTTTTCCATTAAATATTTTTTTCACCATATCCATCATTATACTTCATCTACGCATACCGTAACATCATCCGGCTTATGCATTACGGAATAAACAGTCACGCGTTCACAGGAACTGTCAGAGGTCCACTGGTGATCCCCGATTGATCATAGGGAAGGGCTACAGGCACGTTGGCCTGAGGGGTTATGGGCGCACTCACCCGCTACACAAACAAGCCTTTTTATCCCAGTGGTTAGTGACTGGGATTCTGACATGGTATCAGAGCGAAGGTCTCGGGTTCGAATCCCGGTGTGTGCACCTCGAGCATCCCAGTGCGGGGGGGTGTCAGAGGTCCACTGGTGATCCCCGATTGATCCTAGGGAAGGGCTACAGGCACGTTGGCCTGGGGGGTTATGGGCGCACTCACCCGCTACACAAACAAGCCCTTTTATCCCAGTGGTTAGTGACTGAGATTCTGACAGGAACATCATTTTAGCAACCCATAGAGTATAGGTTCGGTCAAGGCAAACCAAGAAATGAGAAGAAATGTGGTACGGCACATACTAAATTGCCATGGCAAAGACATGACAGTCAGTCACTTAGTTACCTTATCCTTTTTTTTTTTAAGTAAAGAGGATGAAAAAAAAAATGAACATAACGATTGTAATAGGTTGCTTCGCAACCCAAAAATATATATTCAATTACGGCAACTCCTTTAATCGTGTTGTAAGGTCTCTTATCCAAACATTGTTTTGATGTCCGGTGTCAGACGGATGATTCTCATACCCAAAGAAAATCAAGCCGCTGCAGCAGTTTCAATGGCTTCAGGATTCAGGCAAGACGAGGAAGATACGGTATCATCATAAGAAAACCTTGAAAACACAAGCACACTCAGTAGCTCGTCCTCTCCCATTCCCACAGGACAGACTTAATACCTAGGGCTTACCTGCTTCGAGTGCCCTCCGGAATGCACTTCCTTCGTTAGAATTGTTGGATATTCAAGATGGGCCTCAGGCTGCTTCGAGACTGCCCCGCTCTCACACGCATATCTCCTTGTGCATTACTCCGTCCACAATGTGCCGCCATCATCGCTCTTCCTGCATCCTAGTGCAGGCGTGAAAGCACCGGAAGAAGAGACAAGATTCTCCTACGAGAGTTAAGGGAGAGAAGCAGGTTGGTCAAGGAAGAGATAGGGGAGTTGCGGCGCAAGGCATGGCATGGCACAGCATGGGATGGGGAGGGGCAGCATGGACTCACATGAACATGGGGGATGGGGAGGGGAACAGATGCTGCTGATGTTTCTCAAGTCCAACATCCCTTGCGAGGCGGTGCGCGACAGCTTGGAAGAGGAAGAGCAGGGAGGAGCGCGGCATGGCCCAGAGGCAGAGCAGGTGGAAGAGCAGGTGGGTGGAGACCAACCGGGTGGGTGGGTGGGTGGGTGGGTGGGTGGGTGGGTGGGTGGGTGGGTGGGTGGAGCAGGTGGGTGGGTGGGTGGGTGGGTGGGTGGGTGGGTGGGTGGGTGGAGGCAGGGTGGCGGGGTCGGGGAGGAGACCAACGAGGTGCTGCAGGGCTTGCCTGTGTGTGTGTTGGGGGGAGAGCGGGAGGGGAAAGCGACAGAGAGAAGTGAAGGTGTGTTTAGGAGTTAGAAAGAGCATGGAGGGAAGTGGTGGTGCACGGGGACTGATGGGCTAGGTTCTTCAAATCTAAACGTAGAATGGACGCATTAGAGTCTGCAGCTCCAGGCGCAGGAGAATACGGGTGGGGGAAGAACGCAGCTGGGTGGGGGAAGAACGCAGCTGGGTGGGGGAAGAACGCAGCTGGGTGGGGGAAGAACGCAGCTGGGTGGGGGAAGAACGCGGCTGGGTGGGGGAAGAACGCGGCTGGGTGGGGGAAGAACGCAGCTGGGTGGGGGAAGAACGCAGCTGGGTGGGGGAAGAACCCAGCTGATGCTGATGCTTATGCTTATGCTTATGCTTATGCTTATGCTTATGCTTATGCTGATGCTAATGGTGATGCTTATGCTGATGCTGATGCTGATGCTTATGCTGATGCTGATGCCAGTGCTAAAGCTGATGCTGAATCATAAACGTTGCTGATATTTATGCTGATGCTGATGCTTACGCTGATGCTTATGCTGATGGTGATGCTTATGCCTTTGCTGATGCTAATGCTGAAGTTCTGCTGATGCTGATGCTGATGCTGATGCTTATGCTGATGCTGATGCTGATGCTGATGCTTATGCTTATGCCGATGCAGATGCTGATGCTATGCTGATGCTGATGGTGATGCTGATGCTGATGCTGAAGCTGATGCTTATGCTTATACTGATGCTGATGCTGATGATGATATGACGTTGATGCTGATGCTGATGCTGATATGATGCTGATGCTGATGCTGATATGATGCTGATGCTGATGCTGATGCTGATGCTGACGCTGATGCTGATGCTGATGCTGATGCTGCTGCTGATGCTGATGCTGATGCTGATGCTGATGCTGATATGATGCTGATGCTGATGCTGATTCTGATGCTGATGCTGATACTGATGCTGATGCTGATGCTGATATGATGCTGATGCTGATGATGATGCTGATGCTGATGCTGATGCTGATGCTGATGCTGATGTTGATGCTGATGCTGATGCTGATGCTGATATGATGCTGATGCTGATGATGATGCTGATGCTGATGCTGATGCTGATGCTGACGCTGATGCTGATGCTGATGCTGATGCTGATGCTGTTGCTGATGCTGATGCTGATGCTGATGCTGATGCTGATGCTGATATGATGCTGATGCTGATGCTGATGCTGACGCTGATGCTGATGCTGATGCTGATGCTGATATGATGCTGATGCTGGGGGAAGAGGGAATCCCACGTGACAACACACACACATTTTAAGACAGCATTCACAGCACTGCACCAGGATTATGCCCCCTCACATAGCCTCTCACTGCCTCACATAGCCTCTCACCGACTCAAATAGCCTCTCACTGCCCCACACCGCTTCACTGCCTGACATTGCATCACAGTGCCTCCCCTGACTCACCAGCACATATTGCATTGGCGAAACAAGTGCATGGTACAGCCATCTCAGGCTGTCCCTCAGCTGCTGGAAGAAACGCTGCATGCATCAAGGAAAAGGGGGTGCGCGCATGGGGACGTATGGGGTTGCGGTATGGGAGGGAAGGAAGTAGGATGAGGGAAGGCCTTTCTGGCCCCTCCCCTCCTCGCCCATTCCCGCCATCTGATGAGAGCACGTGCAGGCAGGGCGGGCAGAGCTGCAGGAGGTGCTGCCGAGCTGGCAGGCCAGCTGGCGTGAACTAGTTTTGAGGCGCCTCAAAACTAGCTGGCGTGAACTAGTTTTGAGGCGCCTCAAAACTAGCTGGCGTGAACTAGTTTTGAGGCGCCTCAAAACTAGCTGGCGTGAACTTCATCCCCTCCCTTGTCAGCACCTCTTCATCCCTCTCCCCATCTTCTCTTCCCGCTGGCAGGCCAGCTGCGGCAGCGGCAGCAAGTGGCTGGGCCCACACGCGTTCATATCCAGTAGTGACGCTGCCAGGGGGAGGGAGAGGGGGGTTGAGAGGAAGGCGAGGGGGAGGCAAGGGAGGGCAAGGTGATAGGGAGTGGGTAGAGGAGAGGAGGGGATGAGAAAAAGAGAGCAAGAAAGAAGAGGGCGGGTGAGACAAGCATGATTTGCGAGAGGGGAGTTGGAGGGAGGGGAGACGGATGGGAGATGACCAGCGTGGGTGGCAGCGATAGAGAGAAGTGAAGGTGTGCTTAGGAGTTCAAAGAGCATGGAGGGAAGGAGTGGTGGGGCATGGAACCCCAGGGCAGGAGAATCTGCAGCTCCAGGCGCAGGAGAATCTGCACATGTCCCGCTGGCGCATCTGCTGGTGCCGTTGCTGCCCCTGCTGCCAGTCCTGCCCCCACTGCCAGTAGAGGTGCTCCAGTAGGCTGCTCAGGGGCTGGGTGCTCATGCCCTGCTTCTGCGCGCCTGCTTGCACATAGACGTGCAGGGTGGTTGGCCGGAGAGGGAGGATGGGAAGGAAGGGGATAAAGGGGAGGAAGGGGAGGGAGTGGAGAAAGGGGAGGAAGGGCAGAAGGCGTGTTGAGGTGAGAAATTGTAAGTGCGTGGAGATGAAGTGGGAATGAAGTGGATCAAAGGACGCATGGTTGCTTGCACATTTGGTATTATCAATCCGATTAGATTCATGAGAAAGGTACTGAGAATATGGCCGCCAGACAGCAGTCTTCAGCTTTCTGAAACCTCATACATCTACTGCTGTGCAAAGAAGGCATACACCGCCTCTGCATGCGTACAGAATAAAATGGGAACCTTTTCTACGAGGGAGGCAGCAGCGCCAGCAGGGGTGGCACGTGCAGCCGTGGCGTGGTTGAGTGAAGGGTGGCAGGGCAACTGATGGGGGGAGGGAGAAACGGGGGGGGAAGGGGGGTTGGAGGGGGTAGTTAGGAAGGGGACAAGAGAGACATGCGAGAGTGAGAGACAGAGGGTTGGGGACGGAAGGTCAATGCGGAATAGCTCACTGCGGTGGGTTAGGAGAGAGGGCGAGCGGGGAGTGGGAGGAAGATGGATGGGAGATGACGAAGGTGGCAGATGGGAGACGGTGGGTGGCAGGCAGAGGGTGTGGGATGAGAGTGAAGGCGATGGTGACAAGGGGAGCACGTCATCCCACCCCATCCCATCCCATCCCACCCCATCCCATCCCATCCCATCCCATCCCATCCCATCCCATCCCATCCCACCCCATCCCATCCCATCCCATCCCATCCCATCCCATCCCATCCCATCCCATCCCATCCCATCCCATCCCATCCCATCCCATCCCATCCCATCCCATCCCATCCCAGCCCATCCCATCCCATCAGTCCCTCCTCCAGCATCAGTGACATACAATGAGAGCACGTGCAGGCAGGGCGGCCAGTGCTGCAGGAAGTGCTGCAGGCGGGGAGGGGAGGGGAGGCGAGGGTGGGAGGGGGGGAGGGGGTAGGATGACAAGAGCGGGGTGAGAAGACGAGGGTGGTGGGGGGGGGGGGGGATTGAAAAGAGGGGGGGAAGGAGGGGGTGAAAAGAGGGGGTCGGGTGAAAAAGGAGGGGGGAGGAAGGCGGGGGGCGAGTAAGGAGAGCATGATTTGCCAGGACTAAGATGCAGTACTGTTGAGCGGCAGATGAAAAGCAACGCGGAAGGTCATCTCCTGCGCTCCCAGATTAGATTCCCCATCTCCTATATCCCCCCCACTCCCGCACCCCTTCACTGCCTCTGCCCCGCACCGCCCCACCCCCCCACTGCCGCACCCTCCCACTCCCGCATATCCCCACTCCCGCAACCCCCACTCCCGCCCTCCCCCACTCCCCCCTCCCGTGCAGTACCTGCGGAGCGCACGGGCAGCAGGGAGTGGGGCGAGAGAGAGGCGGCAGGGGCGGGCGTAGCAGTAGCAGGCGATGGGGACCAAGGAGAGCGCGCCGCCAGGGAGGAACGAGAGGCCCGCTTGCATGGGGCCCGCGCCCTCGCCCGCTGCTGCTGCCGCGCTGGCAATGACCGTCGATAGGGAGAAGCTGGGGAGGAGGGGGGGAGGGCACGGGTGAAGGGGAGGCAGTGGGAAGGGAAGGGAGGGGGAAGGGAAGGGAGGGGGAGCGGGTAGGGGGAAAAGGTACAGAACGGAGCGGAACGGAGGCGAAAGGAGAACCGTGAAGGACGGATACAAACGCGTACAGAACGGAGAAAGGCTAGAGAACGCGTGCCGAGAACGGAGAGGAAGGCTAGTAACGCGTACAGCGGATACTGGTGCACATCAAACGCAGCACGGCTAGTAACGCGTACAGCGGGCGCTGGTGCACGTGACACGGAGCACGCCTAGTAACGCGTACAGCGGGTACTGGTGCACGTGGAAGGCTAGTAACGCGTACAGTGGGTACTGGTGCACGTGGAAGGCTAGTAACGCGTACAGCGGGTACTGGTGCACGTGGAAGGCTAGTAACGCGTACAGCGGGTACTGGTGCACGTGGAAGGCGCGCTGGCCGATGGTGACGACGAGGTCGCTCGCCATGCCCGCCACTTGCGCCCACTCCAGCTCGCTCTCGTGCGACAGCAGCGACGCCGCCCAACGTCGCACGCCTCGTCGACCATCGCAGGCATTGTCGGAGCAAACGATGGGTAGGCGCGCGGAAAGAATTGTTGCGAACGTGGCGGAGTGAACGGCGCGGAACGGCTCGAAGGTACAGCGACGAGGCACGGGGGAGAGTGCGGGAGCGACTGCTGTCTGCTGCTCTCTCTTGCTCTCCTGCTGTGTGCTGTGTGCCGATCATCGCTCGCAACGCGCGGCGGAAATTTAGATTGGAGATTCCAGGCCGCTGAATCAACCAATCTTCGAACCAAGGTCGTTCGGAGGACAACCGTTGGACGTTAAGAGAGAGACTACGGTATAAAACGGACGCTCAGACTCAATGCGCCAAGAGAGATCACGGCTGTCCGGTCTGCTGAGCAATACAGTGCGTGACGCGCGTAAAGAGCGTAAGGAGCGTCAAGTGTGAAAAGAAGAGCTGAACCTTGAACAGGGAGACAAGCATGCCGTGTTGCTGGAAAGCGGTGGCAGGCAGAGAACCACACGACTACGCTCTACGCTCCTGATCCATCCCCCTCTCTGTTACCACTATCCTGACAGTTAATCCCCACTGCGCGGATCGCACAGCGAGGATCGACAAGTCCTACGTTAACAACGCCGCGTAAATCAAGGCTGGAGGAGCCCCTAAACGGGAAAAATGGATGGAAGGCTCCGATTGTACCGATTGAGCTCGCCCAGGCGGATTCTCTCGTCTGTAACGAGCAGATGCTGCTCCCGCGGAGAACAGGCAATGGCTGGTCGTACCACCTGGCCCGACCTCGCCATGGCATCGCTGCGCTCTGCGATAGTGCGATGTGACAGCCGCATCGACATTTCCGACGCTTCGGCTGAGAATGTATCAACGCGACGCGAGCCAAGCTGACCTCTGCTTTCAGATGCTCGCCTTGGAATGGAACTGGGATGAGGACTTGTGCTCGAGAGACAGGGGGGGACGAGTTCGCACCAACTTCAAGGCTGCCTAGATGAGATATGCCTGGGTGTAAGCGAAGCGAGAGTTTCAACTAAGTGCACTTCAATGCGGTGACATGCGGTTTCGTACTTTTCCGAAAAAGGTATTTTTGTTATCGTAGAATGTTCTCCTAGGTTTTCCAGCAATAGGTACATTATGGCTCACCTGTGATGAGCTGAGTCTAGGTAGACTGCAAATCTGCAGTAGTTGATTTGAGGCAGAAAAACACAAGGCTAACTTACATGCTGGAAATTTGAGTTTCTTTTCATGAATCCAGAAACGTTTCTGATTGCGAGATATTCTACGCCCTACTACGGTAATAGTATTGCTACACTAAAACGCAAAGTATTATTAAAATAATATTCAAAGGTACACTCAGCCAATGATATTCTGTCTAATCCTATCAACCATATAGGTCCACAGCTACTCCATGGCAGCATGCCATCCATGCCCACCCCGGCATGGACTGGCAGTGCACTGCACAGGCAGAGAGGAAGGTTGGGCCTTGAGCATTGCCAGGACCAAGACGTGCGGGTGCCCTACTAGGGACTGGCTCTGCCCACCCCCGCCCACACCACATGACATCACTGCTGGCCAGACAGCTTTGTCATGTGGTGTGGGAGGAGGGGGACAGAACCAGTCCGGTTTGGCCCGGAATCGAGTCCCCAGCCAATGCTCAAGGGTTCAACCCCTCTCGTGCACTGCCTTCCACCTGCATGGTACAAGAGACAGATATTAGTCCAGGCTCCTTAAAAACAGCAAGGACGAACACAACTAAATAAAAACGATTCAGAAACTTGACTCAGTGCAAAGTGAAGGGCAGAGACTTATCTGAAGTTAAATAGTTGGAGGTGTTGAGCAGTGCGCAAGGACTTGGAGCTCCATGGGAGTGCAGAGTGGCCTTGGAGAGAACCTGCCACGAGGTAAATAAAGAAAGTCAGTGCCCGGTATCATCTTGAAGCAACAACTTGAATGAAGCGAAGCGATCAGCAAAGTAAGCAAGCGGTGAAGACAAGGGGTAGGTAACTTATCTCGCCATGCTTGAGCCTTGAATCGCCTCAGAAGAGCATGGTGCTCCCATGGATGTTGGACATGCTGAAGGTCCTTGGTTGAGCAACCTGCCACATAAAGTAAGCATAAACCATGTCAGTAAATCAAGTAAACTCAGAATCACACAGCAACAGAAAGCAAGAGTTGAGGGGAAAAGAAGGAATCGGCATGCCTGGAGTAAGCAGCAGAGGGGCATTGGAGCGATAAAAGCAAGGAAATAAGCTGGGGTTGGTGACTTATCTTCCAAGGTTGTTGAGCCTTAAGGTGCCTCAGCAGACCAGCTCCCATGGATCTTGATTCTTGGGCCTGCTGAAACGCGTTGTTGAAGCAACCTGCCAATAGAAGTCAGAAAATCCGAGTTAGAAAGGAATAGTCAACGAAGGAAAACGAAACAACATGCAACAAGTGACTTCAAACGAGACTCACTGGTAGTGAAGAGAGAGGAGGCACCTGCCAGGTGCTGTTGGCAGGTACGTTCACCTCGCTTTGGAGCTTGGCACAAGGGCCATAACCTGCAAGGAGATCAAGGGAACTACGTTAGTAAAAAGCAGTGAATAAATCAAGCAGAAACGGACGGTGATGGTGCAAGTCTGCACTGCCTACAGAGCCAATACCGAAAAAAATACCTTAGGGGGACCTTTACCATCACCTCAACCTTTACCATTACCTCGACCTGAACCAAGGGGGGGGGCTCCGAGGAGTGTGGAGTGGGTGGCCGCCAAACGATGTTGTTCCTCTGAAGTCATCAGAGCATACCCTCGGATAGAACCTGCAGGTATGGCAATAAAGAAGAATTAAGTTCGGGCAATAAAGCATGTAAAACGAAAAGAAGCGTGAAAAAAACAGAGCCAATACCAACCGAAAAACCTTCAGGGGGAACCTGTACCATACCTTGACCTGTACCTAACCTTAACCAGGGGGGGGGCTCTGTGAAGTATGAAGGGTGGGTGATACTTCAACCTTCTCATCTGTTGGCCTTCATGAAGCATGGAGAACCCCGAAGGCCTTTGCTCCTCTTGAGTCTTCGGAAATACGCCTCGCAGCCTCCATTAGAACCTGCGAGTGGAGAAAAAAACACCTAGTTAGTATACCAAATTGAAGAAAGCATGCAGAAAACGACTTTGCGAAGTGAAGAAACATGCTGCCCCACCACAGAGCCAATACCAACCTGTACCGAAAAAAAAAAAAACCTCCTGGGGACCTTCACCTAACCTGTACCGAACCTTTACCAAACCTTAACCGGGGGGAAGGCTCTGTGGTGAGTGGTGGTGCAAGGTGATACGTTCAACCTTCACCAGGACGACTCGTGGAGCTGCTCCTCTGCTCCTCTGGTCGATCGATGACACTTCAGCCACGTCGTAGCTGGCGTCGCGACAAGGACGAGGACGCCTTGAAGAATGGAGAGCCACGAAAGTTGTTCCTCCTCTGAAAGCTTCGGAAGTACGCCTTGCAGCCTCCAATAGCACCTGCAAGTATAACAAATAACACGAAGTCAGTGAACGGAAGTGAAGAAAGCAAAAGGAAATGAAGACTGTAAACGTGAAAAAAAAACATGTGCTGCCCCACCACAGAGCCAGTACCAACCAAACACCTTGGGAACCTTTACCGCACCTGTACCGAACCTGTACCAAACCTTTACCAGGGAGGAGGCTCTGTGGTGAGTGATGGTGAAAGGTGATACTTTCAACCTTCACCGTAACAAGTCGGAGATGTCGATGTCGCTTCAGCCACGTCGTAGCTGGCGTCGCGACGAGGCCGAGGACGCCTTGAAGAATGGAGAGCCACGAAAGCTGTTGCTCCTCTGAAAGCTTCGGAAGCACCCCTTGCAGCCTCCAATAGCATCTGCAAGTATAATCAATAACATGAAGTCAGTAAACGGAAGTGAAGAAAGCAAAAGGAAATGAAGACTGTAAACGTGAAAAAAACACGTGCTGCCCCACCACAGAGCCAGTACCAACCAAACACCTTGGGAACCTTTACCGCACCTGTACCGAACCTGTACAAAACCTTTACCAGGGAGGAGGCTCTGTGGTGAGTGGTGGTGAAAGGTGATACTTTCAACCTTCACCGTAACAAGTCGGGGATGTCGATGTCGCTTCAGCCACGTCGTAGCTGGCGTCGCGACGATGTCCAGGAAAAACGCAGATCCACGACGAATCAATGATTACAATAATGTCCTGCGCATTGTAGAACAACGAACGTCTTAGTCAGGATCTGGGTCGAAACAAACTGAAGTGGTACGCGCGAACCTACTGAAATCGGATTGCTTATACGGAAACGAAATCGGGATAACTGTTGTACCTCGCGTCATAGACGAAATCGGGATCTGCAGGCGAAGTTTACTAGGTAACGTAGCAAAAACTCCCATGATCAAGGTTGTGAAGCTCTGCGACCCAATGCCAGGTTGACCGGTGACAACGTGAGAAGGTAGTGATGCTGCGGGAGTGGTAGAGCCAAGCTCGTCTGGCGAAAATGGCAAGAATGCTACGGAGACGAATTAAAATTCCGAGTCGAAGAGTCTGGAATCAGAATGAGCCTGATGACCGTGCGGATCGTCTGATTGCGGACCGTTGGGCTTAATTACGTGGTGAAAACAGGCTACCGTTGGGATCGTGCATTGCTGGCTTCAGTGGTGGTCCCAAATATGCCACCCTGGACTTCGGCGGATCGGAACAGCATCGACATCAGCACTATCTCCAGCTTCTGATTGGGCCGCCTAGTGTGGAAGCTGTAATCCGCGATCAAAAAAATATCATGTGTCTCCAGTTTGGGACACGTAGGCTGTTTGAACGGCCAAAAACGAAGTATGGTTGGAAACACCGACTCCAAAATCTAGTGGCGTGGCCAGCCGCTAATCCAACCGGCGCCGATCGTTTCCCGAAGCGTGCAGCCAAGCGAACCGCTCTAAAGTATGGCAGGTGGCTGGAGCAGGAAACTTGGGAGGGAACCGCTCTAAAGCAGGAAAGATTTGTTAGAGTCGTCTGACAGAAGCGGCAGTGTGAGAAGGGAGCTGAAATAAACATCATCCGTTTGAAGTAGAAGATGTGTTCTCGCGAACTGACGAGCTCACAGGTAACCACTGTCGTGAGATTGGTTTCGCTAAGTCCCGTTGCGATTGGGTTGGGGGATTATCGGATTGTCAAGGTTTCCTGAGACGTTTTTCACGAAATGTTTTGCTGCTGCTTGGCGAAACGCTTCGTCAGCCCGGGTGTGTAGGGGTCTGGTGCGTGTGGCAAGGAAAAACGCAGGTAGGTCGGATGTGTGACGGAGGGTCAAATCTGGTTGAACACGGTTCTGACAATTCCAGCGGGTTTGCAGTGCGCTGGAAGGCAATCCCACAATCTCACAGGCAATCCCCCGCAAAATCTGCGCTTTCACTATCCACGCGGTTCAGTAAGTGTTAATGTGGTAATAAGCGGTAACTAGAACCCCTGGCACCGTAAGGCACCTGACAAAACCGATGTTGCGTGTACCAGAAACAGCATCCCAATCCCAAGGCACAATTTCGTTTTCCCGCATATTTCCCCGACTTTCGCGGCATCCCTGCGGGAGTTCCGCCTACCGTGTTACTTGGATGGATGGTATTTGTCAGACAGTTTACTGTACCAGCCAAGGCTTACCAAATTTGTGTCTACAACGCTGATAATTTGATATTGCTGATCGCAACTGGACAGAAACCCGTGGTGGTGCAAAGTGCCATTGATTGCAAAAATTGGTCCTACAGAAATTCAAGCATCAATTTCAGGCTGGTGCAGATCAGCATTAGCCACACAGAATCTACCATTTCCACTACAATCTCGGAAAACACACAACTTACCCCTCGCCTGCATGATCAACCTCCCCATATCATTGATCAGCACACACAAAAAAAAACCACCAGAAAGCCAGGTTTAACCGCTTGCACCCTAAGCCTCGTCCACCATCTCATCGCCCTTGGTACCAAACAAGAAGCCACCGGCAAGGAAGTAGCGCAGCAGCGGCACGAGGCCAATGAGAGCCATCTGCAGCTGCTCGTTGGACGTGGCTCGCAGGGAGATGGTGCCCGCTGCACGGTTGTTCACATTCGCTCGGAACAGCAGATTCGTCTTGCCTGCTGTCGCCTGCGCCTGCACGTTTGCTCCCACCACCAGATCTCCCTGTGGAAGGGAAGGCGAACGAGGTTGAAAGGGAAGGGGAGGACAGCGAGGAAAGCATATTTAGACGCAAAATGGTGAAGGGGAGAAAAACTCGCACCAGACACAGACAGATGATAGTTTTGAAGGGCAACATGTGGATGTGACTAGTGACTGACCTGCCAGTCCATGAGGGTAAGCCCAAGCACTCCCATGGTGCGATCCAATGGATGGTCGGGATGCCGCACCTGGTGAACCAGTGGGGACAGCAGCAGCAGCACACGAGGGGAAACAAGGCATAACCCAATAGATCAACGACTGGACATAACAACCACTTGCAAGATCATTGCAGGTTCTTTATACTGCGCAATGTATCGTGTCTGTGGGGTAGTTGTGCAAGTAATGCATTGCAGCGCCAAGTGGCTGGCCCCCAAAACATCCACACATCCAGCACCCATCCATCCCCACACGCACCATCCTATCCCATTACATCCTCAACTGCAGTGAAGTGCCACAGCAGGGCGCGCCAGTCTTTTCCCCCCTCCCACCCACATCACATGGCACGCAGGCACAGCAGCTTACCTGCACCTCGCAGTTAGCCCCCCTGGCCATGAGGCGGCCGCAGCGCACAAAGCCGGCTGCAGCGTTGAGGCTCACGCTCTTGCCCACCAGCAACCGGTCCTCCACCTGCCATGCCATGCACGGGGGACAAGCAGCACACATTCGCCGTGGAGTTGGGGGGAAGGGGTGGGGGGAGAGAAGGTCAACAGGGATGCAGCATGAGGCGTCGAAATGCGGAGATAGGTTGGGAAGGTCAGTGATCAAGATTGGTGCGTATGACACTTCAGAGGAAGTGCGAGGGTAGGTTGGGACGGAAAGGTGAGCAACTAGCTGTGAGTGGGACAACACTGGGTCTATTTCTTTCAACTTGCTTGGCTTGGTGCAATTGTCATTAATTACGCAGTAGTTGATTGACGTGTGTGAAAAGGTTGATCCATCACGCGTATCACTCCATTTCATTTTATGCTCCATCAGCTTGCTATATGAATCCCAACACAATCCCCAGACACACATGCGACGCCAATCCCTCCACCACACCCACCATCACACTCAGCCCCACGATTCCGCATAGAATCACCCACCCATCCTCCCGTTCTTCCCACCCCCTCTCCCCCCCCACCTCTCCCCTCCCCCCCCATCGTTTCTCTTGCCTCCCCAGCGCAAGCGCTCACCTTGAGTCCAGTGGTGAGCCCACTGCCATCGTAGGTGGTGAAGGAGATGCCAGCGGTGGTGCGGTTGTGGGGGAACGTGCGGAAGCGTGTCTCGGAGCGCAGCGTGTAGGCGAGGCTGCTGCCCACGGACTGCACGTCCAGCCCCGCGGTGGTGACGGGCGCGTGCAGGAAGGACGTGCCGTGCCGCATGGACGCCGCTGCCTCCAGCGCCACCGTGCAGTCCTTCTTGTCCTTGGTGATCTGCACGTACACCATCGCATGGCACGCAGCGCAGGGAAAGCAGCGCAGGGCGCGCAGCGCAGGGAAAGCAGCACAGGGGAAAGGGGATGGCGGAGGGGGAATGCAGGGGGAGAGTGGAGGCGTGGGAATGGGGTGGGGGGATTTGGAGGTGGGTGGGTGAGAGGTTGGGTCAAGGAGTAGGGAATGTGATTCACACGGGTGGTGCAGAGGGGGGAGAGGGGATGTAATGTGGTAAACGAAATATGAAAGAAACATCGCATAAACCTGTGTGAGCGAATGTATGACATGGGGGTAGTGAAGAGCGCACGGAGGGGGGAGGAGGGGAGCGGGAAAAGGGGTGGGGGGAGAAGTGAGGAGGGGGGGGGAGGGGGGGAGTGGAGGGTAACAGGGCAGGAGCGGAGGGGAGAGCGAGAGGCTGAAACGCGAACTATATCCTTTATATCTGTGACCCAATGTACCTGGCCGGAGATGGAGGCGGGGATCTTGTCACGGATGGCGAAGGCCTTCTCCATTTGGAAGCCGTCGTACCCCGTGTCGTGGTCCCACCCGTGCTGCTCCAACATGGGCCGCACCAACCACTGCCGCCCCCAACACCATCGAGGGAGGAAGGAGGGAGAAGCGAGGGAGAAGGGAAGGAGAAGGGAAAAGAGAACAACAAAGTCAAACAAGCACCTCGCATAAACCCTCATGCAAGGAGAGCAACGCTGAGAGCCGTTACAAGAGGCCAACTCACAAGCAGCAGCACAGTCCCTGGCCTCTGCCAGCGCACGCACCTGGTTGGCGGTTTCAATGTAGCGGTAGCGGTGGCTGGGCTGGTCGCTGTCGAACGAGGGCGGCAGGTCCAGGTCGGGCATGGGCACAGGCACGTTGCTGGGGCCCGCGTCCTCCTCCGCGCCCTCCTCGCCCTCCGCCCCCTTGGCCTTCTCTGCGCCCTCCTCCTCCACGTCCTCGCCCGCCTCCAGCTTCCGCCGCAGCTCCCTGCGTCTCCGCAGCTCCTCCCTCCACTGCTTCTTCTGCTCGCGCCACAGCCACACACGGACACACGGACCAGAGGACGGAAACGCGATCAACAAACGCGACCATCCCAAGCACACGCACAATGGACAGCTACAGAACGAGAATCAAGATGCAGACGTTCCCTGAGACAGACAGCGCTCCCGTCCATCAGCACTAAAACCCTCAGCCTCCCACATACCCCACACCCTCACCCGACCCAACAGTCCACCTCCCTTCCCCACAGCCGTGTCATCTCGTGCGTCTCACCTGGAAGAGTCGCTCCCTGTCCGCGAGCTCCTCATAATACTCCCGGCGCTGCGCGGGCTCCAGCTGCTGCAGCTCCGCCTTGGTGAGGCGGCGGAAGGGCGGCAGCGCGTCGAAGTCCACCTCGTCGTCGTCGCTTTCGCTATCGCTGCTCTCGTCGTACTCGTCGTCGTCGCCCATCTGCTGCTCCTCCGGCAGCCGCAGCGGCTGCCTCGGGCCCAGCAGCGACGACAGCAGGTACGGCAGCGGCGGCATGCGCGAGCGCCCGCGCTGGGCGCGCGCGGACGCAGGCCCGCCGATCTCAAGCACAGAGTTGGCCTCGGAGAGGCACTTGGAGGCGAAGCACAGCAGCAGCAGCTGCGGGCGCCACACCTGGCCGTTAGGCAGCACGCGGTCGCCCGTGCGGTTGGTGCGGCACGCAGGGTGGTTCTCCGCGAGGGCCACGGGGTTCAGCAGGCGCATGTCCCCCGACGCCTGGCGGATCGTCTGCTGCACCACGTGCGACCGCTGCGCCACGTACATCTCGTAGCTCATGGGACGCCCGCTGCTGTCCTCGGGGGGCGCGGAGGACGCGTGCGTGAGCACAACAATCGTGTTCATCCACACAGCAGGACCAAACGTGTCGCTGATAGGGCGCACGAGCTCCATATCGCCGTAATCCCGCGCCTGCACGTCCAGGCGGTCCACGTACAGCACGATGTCGGGCTGCTTGCCGCGCAGGTAGCGCTTGGCGGAGCGCAGGATCTTCTGGTTGCGCCGCATGTCCGCCACGGACGGGTGCAGCCCCGGCACGTCCACCACCTTCACGTTCACGCCGTGCACGCGCCCCGTCACCTCGCGCACGCGCGTCGTCGGGGGCAGCTCCGCGGGCGGCGCATCCGCGGGGGGGGTGGTGCCGAGGAGCGAGTGGATGGTGGCGGTTTTACCCACGCCCGTCTTGCCCACCACCATGATCGTCAGCCCGAAGTCTAGGTCCGAGTCCGCGCCTTCCGTCGCATCCAGCTCAGCTGCGCGCTCGCGCGCGCGGTCCAGGCGCATGGCGCTGCCCATGGCGCCGCCAATGATGCGCACTCCGCCGCTGCCCGCGCGGGAGGAGGTCTCCTGGAACTTCTCCGCGAGCTCCAGGCGGTACAGCACCTGCGCCACCACCACGTTGCTGTGCGACTGCCCCAGCCGCGCAGCCAGGCGCAGCAGCTTCACGCGCACAGAGTTCACCTTCTCCGCGCGCGGATTGAGCGGGGCATCTGGCGCTGCCCCCCCAGCAGGGGCGTCGCCCACAGCGCCTGCCATGCCCTGTCGCGCAATCACCGCCGCGGCCTGCCGGGCCACCGAGTCAACTGCGGAGCCTTCCGAACCAGAGTCGGCGGATCGGGTGGAGGACTGCGGGCGAGCTGGGAGATCAAGCGAGCCGTTGAGACCGCGAGGGGCGGCCATGCGCGGGGGGAGGTTGATCCCGCCAGCTGCGCTGCCGCCCGCCCCCTGCACCACAGCTTCCATGTCCCTCACGAGGGCATCCAGAGAGGCGGACACCCCCGCGCCTTCCTCATCGTCATCGTCGTCCTCCTCCCCATCCACCCACTCCTCCGCCTCGCTGTCGTCACTGTCGTCACTGTCCACGTCCTCCACATCCACCCGACTGGCATCCGCGATGGCCTGTTGCAGCCGCGCCTGAATGTCCTGCGACACCTCCGCTGATTCACCTGCTGCAGTAGTCTGCGCTTCACCTTCGGCAGAAGCAGCAGCCGCAGCGGTAACGGTTTCTTCGACAGTGGCGGACGCTGTTTCTGTCACGACCTCCGTCTCGGCCTCAACACTGGTGGTCGAGGTCACCGTCGTGGTGGTCGTGGTGGTGGTCGTCGTCGTGGTCGTTGCGGCTGTGCTAACCTTTTCAGTAGCTGCGGCTGTTTCGGTCGTTGCTACCGTCGCAATAGACTCGCTGGCATCAGCAGCAGCTGCAACGACTTCAACAGCGGCAGCACTACCTTCCACTTCCACTTGTTCCACTACAGACACCGACGGTGTCTCAGTCGCCACCTCCGATACAACCGTCTCTGTTACGGTTGCCGTGACCTGTTCAACTGCAGCTGTCTCCGTCACTGTTTCCGTGACAGCTTCCGTCACCACTGCGCTAGAAACCTCCTCCTCGCCCTCTTCAAAAGCCTCCGCCTCCCCTTCCGCATCCATCTCCGCACTCACCACAGGCACCGAGAAATCTTCCGAGTCCCCTGTTACCTTCGCCTTGGGAATCATAAAATCCTCCCCCGCTGGGGAGGTTCCGAAGCTGCCCACCGACCCTTCAGCGCGCTCGTTCGCGCTATCAAACGACTCGTTATCGTCATCGTCAGAGTCGTGCTCCTCTTCTGTCTCACCCTCGACGCTCAACGGCGCACGGATCGAACCGCCGTCCTGATCCTTCTCAGACGCGTCTGGAGCCGCTTCTCCTCCGTCGCCCGCATCCGAGCTACTGTTATCGCCGTCATCCGCAACGGCACGGGGCGGAGCCCCGTCTGACTGCTCCTCGCCGCCCTCCGCGCCCTCGCCGTCCTTGGCCTTGGCGCTGAAACTCAGATAACGGCCGATGGACTGCATTCTGCTGGGACGAGAGCGACAGGGAGGGAGCGAATGCAACGACGCGTGTCGCGGAGGATCATTGAAACGCTGATAAAAAAGCACCGCACTCTGAAGCCTCTCACGTAAACAAAATGCGCTAAACTGGCTGCAGATGCTGATCCCAGCTACTCAGGGAATATTGTGATCTCGGGGAAGGAAGATCGAACTAAGCGATCGCCCCGCATCGCGGAGGAAAACAAAACACACGAACAGATTAGCAACATGGACAAGCAATCTGCAAAACCCTTAATCGTAACATTTTCTTATGTTAGATCGGTTGTCCTCCCCAATAAAAAGAAACCTAAAAGCAACCAAACGAGTCTCCATTATTCCAAGCACAGGCGCAAGTAAGGCGATCCACGAAAACAAAAGTTGCAAGACGCGAGCACGAACGGGGACGACATGACTTGGACGGACTCCAAACAACCTAGTGACCGTTACCTGAAAGGAAGATCGGCGATCGCCTTCAGAAACTAGGATTCAGGAGTGAACGCCAAGCGCACAGCACCAGTCTCTATCAGCGACCCGGCGGCAACGTGATCGACGTCGCTCGTTCTGCTGACCAGGCTTTCTCAGCACTGCTAAGTGGCCTCCTCCTGAGGAGCACTCAGAAAAAAGGACCAAGAAATAGGTCTGAGAGGAGTTATTGAGGGTGGTTCTGGATGATGGCTACACCTCACGCACCCAAACGCACACCACACCTCCCCTCACCTCACCTCGGAAAACCCGAACGCCTGGCTCGGTGTGTGGGCTTCGCCAGATCAGGCAGGCACGGCAGACCCCTCGAGTTCAAAATGTGACAGGGGAGCCTTGAGGCGCTGGTATGATGTGATAAGGGGCTCAGAGTTGCGTGCATGACGTGGCACGGTACTACTGCTCCATGAGCCACATAGGCTCGCAAAAGTGGAGGCTCGGATGTTGCAATTTCATGATAATCTGCCACGCAGGTCAACCCATGCACAAAGGTGGGAAAGCGAGTGAGGGTTTTGATGAATGATGGGTTTCAAGGGCTTTGGCTCAACTGAACATTACAACATTGACATGATGGATTTTCTCAGCATGTTACATTCCTTGGTGTCACAATACGGTATCATTTCATTTCATAGACTATATTTGAATGAAAATCACAAAATCCCTTAACTCACGCATTCTGGTGATGGTCTCTCATGTCCCCTCCATTCCAATCTCTGCTAACTGCCACTCTAGTCAGTCATGTGCATTGCATTGCCTGCCCTGGATCAAGCACCTAGGTATACCTGAGACACAACCACCATGCTATCTGTACAATATTATCTTGGACACGTTATATATCATTCAACTTGAACCTGACCTTGTCTGATGCTAGCCTCCACCTTCCCAAGGAGGTCGATCAACACTGGTGCGATTTTTTCAGGAGCATATTTATCAACCATGTACCTGCGAGCTACACACCCCTTCCTCCTTCCACCTGCCCTATCGGACAACACCTCTCGCATCAACTTGCAGAGTTCTGAAACTGAAGGCTCTGCCCACAAGTGCCCTTTAAAAGGCCCATCGGGAACCTCTGAGAGATGGTCTACGGGTATTGGGTACCCGTTCTCCTCATTCAAATACTCTGTTATGCCGGACCAATTAGTGGCAATCACTGGCAGCCCTGATGCCATGGCCTCCACGATTGGCCGGCCCCATCCCTCTCCTCTTGTGGGCAAGACAAAACAATCGGCTGCCCGGTAAACGTTCGGCAGATCAGACTGCGCCACGTGCTCCGAGCGCACATAGAGCGACGGCCAGCCCTCGGGTGGCTCAGTAATGTTGGCAGAGTGGAGAAAGGAGGTTAGTTTGTCTGCAAAATGGGAGTCAGTGTGGTAGGCGTTGGTGACAAGGTAGAGCAGCACAGGGTCCGATGCAGTGAATGTGGACAGGTAGGCCCTCAGCAGCACGTCCCAGCCCTTCCTCTGCTCCCACTTGAACATGCTCAGGAACACAAATGGCCGCTTGTCACTCCCACTGCCCTCTCCTCCTGGCACCAACGACCCATCGTCTTGCATGGCACCATCCTCTATTGTGTCACCACCTTCACCACACCAGTCCGCAAGATCCCCATCCCTACTCCCACTCCTCCCCGCATCACTCTCATCATCCAACCCCTCCCCCTCATCCGTCCCATGATCCCTCATCTCCCCATCACCGCCACGTGCATGTACCAGCCGGTCCGGGCCGAGAACGAGCTCAGCAGGAGGGAGGGCGGGGCGGAGGCCAGAGGAGAGGGCGCGTGGGTGGAAGGCGCGCACGTCAACAGGTTGAGGCAGCACGCGCAGCTTGGAGGGGAGCACGCCGCTGGCAGCAAAGGAGTGCCGGTGGAAGGCGGACGGCACCCACACCTGCTGCATGCGGTTGCACCGCTGCACGTGCGTGGGCGTCACCCGGTCCGTCTCAAACATGGTGCGCCCAATCAGGATCGCGGACGCTTGCAGGTCTGCGGGCGGGCAGGGAGGGGTTTGGAAGAGTGGCGGCGCCCACGCGCCTGGCTCGCTGTGACAGATGACGATTCCCTGCACTGGACTGCCTATGCTGCCGCTGCTGCTGCTGTCTTGTTCCTCTGCCTCAGCCGCTTCATTCCCATCTGCCGTTACCCCGCCCTCTCCTAATGCTCTCCCTGCTCCTCCTCCTCCATGCCAAAGTCTCTCCCATCCCCCAACTCCGTCCTCCTCCCTATCATCCTCAGTATCCTCTTTTCCTGCTACTCCCTCTTCCGCTACCCCTCGCCCTGCTGCTCCTGTGGTGCCCTCAAAAAGCTCTTCCAGCGTGCGAACAGTGGAGTCGGGCAGCCCGGAAATGAACTCCCAGTTGGTGCCGTCCCCGTGCTGCGCGATCTTCAACGGCGGCGCGCGCCTGGACGCGGCGAGCGACGTCGCGAACGCGACGGCTTCGGAGGAATACCCCCCCGCGGAGAGAAACGGCGCCATCCACAGCACGGGGAGGCGGAGCGGGGGAGATTCGCAGGGGATGCGTCGGGAAGATGCGGCGGAACCAGTGGGGGACGGGACGTGAGGCGGAACTGCGGATGCGCCATCCGCGCGAAGAGGAGCGGGTGAAGGCGGCGCGGGCGCGGCAGCGCACGTTGATGCGGGAAGGTCAGATGGGCACACGGCATGTGAATTCGCGGTGGGATGATGGGAGGTGGCTGCGACTGACGCAAGGAGCAGGGACGGGAGGAGGAGTAAGGAGACAGAATGGACGGCGACGATGAAGACAGAGGCAAGACTACGCGGCAAGTTTAGTGCATGGCGAGGCCACGGCGAGCGCGATGGACCTGATCGGCTGCGAAAGAACCCTGCGAAAGTGAGTGGCAACTCCAAGGAACTCAAACGTGCAGGAATTCCCGCCATAGTTGCGCCGTAACAGCGCTGGTTTGCCTCCTAGGAACTACGCTGTAGCGCGGCTCCTTGCCTGCCCATCGCGATGGACTGACAGATTTTACCGTGTACTTTACGGTATGTACCGAATGGGCTGCACTTTTGATTTGGAAGAAAGATTTCTAAACATCCGATAGTACAAAGAACTTGTGAAAAACCAGCACCTTGCATGGGCCCTAAGAAAACCAAATCACTCTTTTTGGAAGAGAACTTCAAGGCATAGGCCTTCTAAGGCAGGATCCCTAAGTGCCTCAAGCACCCCTGATGAGTGCCATGGGTGTCCAGGTGAGTTGAATGGTGTTACAGTACAAACAAGTTTGAAGCAAGTACAGATGACCCACATTAATAAATCAAACCTACGGTAGTACCGTATTGTCAGAGCATGGCACACTTGTGTACTATGTAAAACTAAACGGTAGATAAACTTTACAGGAGTGTACTCAGCCACCACTAGGGCTTCCAGGCAGACTGCAAAATATCACCGCATGCAGCCACTGAAAGGGCATGGCAGGTCAGGCAGCCACTCTTGACACATCCCACACACCTCCACTCCTCCACCCTGAACCCTCTCTTCCCTCCCACACTGCCCTCTTTGTCTTCCATTGTGCTCCTCTTCTCTCCAGCTGCAGATGGTATGATGCCTCCCATGCCACACCATGCCATGCAACCTCATGTCACACCACACCCTGCCATGCCATGCCACACTGTGATATGTCATGCCATGCCATGCCATGCCATGCCATGCTATGCCATGCCATGCCATGCCATGCCATGCCATGCTATGCCATGCCATGCCACACGAAATCCTGCGAAAAAATGGCAACGATGACATGCCAAAAAAACACATGCCACACCATCAGATACAACACATGCCATGCCACACCATGATACACTGACACACAAAACCACGCTGCATCATACCACACTGCAACACCACATAATATCAGGCCACTCTTTATCATCAACTTGCCGCTAATGAATGCCAGCCAGAAGATGGCCTGATGGCCTGCCACACAGTGACCGCATGCCACACCAAGCCGTGCCACACCATGCCACGCCACAGCACGCAATCCCAAACCTTGCAATGCATGCCACTGTATCGCACAACATGGCACAACGCAAACCATGAATTGGTATTTCACACTCTGGCATTCCATTTCATACCATGACATTCCACAGCGTGACATACGACATAAAGACATCACTTCACCATACCACTCAGAAATCAGACAGCACCATGCCGCACAATACACCCAACAAATTTGAGCACACACTCTCACCCATGGGGTTTCAACTCCCACTCTCCCACCCATGAAGTTTTAGTCCGCACTCTCCCACCCAAGGGGATTCAGTCCCCACTCTCCCACCCAAGGGGATTCAGTCCCCACTCTCCCACCCAAGGGGATTCAGTCCCCACTCTCCCACCCAAGGGGATTCAGTCCCCACTCTCCCACCCAAGGGGATTCAGTCCCCACTCTCCCACCCAAGGGGATTCAGTCCCCACTCTCCCACCCAAGGGGATTCAGTCCCCACTCTCCCACCCAAGGGGATTCAGTCCCCACTCTCCCACCCAAGGGGATTCAGTCCCCACTCTCCCACCCAAGGGGATTCAGTCCCCACTCTCCCACCCAAGGGGATTCAGTCCCCACTCTCCCACCCAAGGGGATTCAGTCCCCACTCTCCCACCCAAGGGGATTCAGTCCCCACTCTCCCACCCAAGGGGATTCAGTCCCCACTCTCCCACCCAAGGGGATTCAGTCCCCACTCTCCCACCCAAGGGGATTCAGTCCCCACTCTCCCACCCAAGGGGATTCAGTCCCCACTCTCCCACCCAAGGGGATTCAGTCCCCACTCTCCCACCCAAGGGGATTCAGTCCCCACTCTCCCACCCAAGGGGATTCAGTCCCCACTCTCCCACCCAAGGGGATTCAGTCCCCACTCTCCCACCCAAGGGGATTCAGTCCCCACTCTCCCACCCAAGGGGATTCAGTCCCCACTCTCCCACCCAAGGGGATTCAGTCCCCACTCTCCCACCCAAGGGGATTCAGTCCCCACTCTCCCACCCAAGGGGATTCAGTCCCCACTCTCCCACCCAAGGGGATTCAGTCCCCACTCTCCCACCCAAGGGGATTCAGTCCCCACTCTCCCACCCAAGGGGATTCAGTCCCCACTCTCCCACCCAAGGGGATTCAGTCCCCACTCTCCCACCCAAGGGGATTCAGTCCCCACTCTCCCACCCAAGGGGATTCAGTCCCCACTCTCCCACCCAAGGGGATTCAGTCCCCACTCTCCCACCCAAGGAGATTCAGCCCCAACTCTCCCACCCAAGGGGATTCAGTCCCCACTCTCCCACCCAAGGGGATTCAGTCCCCACTCTCCCACCCAAGGGGATTCAGTCCCCACTCTCCCACCCAAGGGGATTCAGTCCCCACTCTCCCACCCAAGGGGATTCAGTCCCAACTCCCCCACCCTAGGGGATTCAGTCCCCACTCTCCCACCCAAGGGGATTCAGTCCCCACTCTCCCACCCAAGGGGATTCAGTCCCCACTCTCCCAACCAAGGGGATTCAGTCACCACTCTCCCACCCAAGGAGATTCAGTCTTCACTCTCCCACACAAGGGGATTCAGTCCCCACTCTCCCACCCAAGGGGATTCAGTCCCCACTCTCCCACCCAAGGGGATTCAGTCCCCACTCTCCCACCCAAGGGGATTCAGTCCCCACTCTCCCACCCAAGGGGATTCAGTCCCCACTCTCCCACCCAAGGGGATTCAGTCCCCACTCTCCCACCCAAGGGGATTCAGTCCCCACTCTCCCACCCAAGGGGATTCAGTCCCCACTCTCCCACCCAAGGGGATTCAGTCCCCACTCTCCCACCCAAGGGGATTCAGTCCCCACTCTCCCACCCAAGGGGATTCAGTCCCCACTCTCCCACCCAAGGGGATTCAGTCCCCACTCTCCCACCCAAGGGGATTCAGTCCCCACTCTCCCACCCAAGGAGATTCAGTCCGAACTCTCCCACCCCCGGGAAATCAGTCCGAACTCTCCCACCCAAGGGGATTCAGTCCCCACTCTCCCACCCAAGGGGATTCAGTCCCCACTCTCCCACCCAAGGGGATTCAGTCCCCACTCTCCCACCCAAGGGGATTCAGTCCCCACTCTCCCACCCAAGGGGATTCAGTCCCCACTCTCCCACCCAAGGGGATTCAGTCCCCACTCTCCCACCCAAGGGGATTCAGTCCCCACTCTCCCACCCAAGGGGATTCAGTCCCCACTCTCCCACCCAAGGGGATTCAGTCCCCACTCTCCCACCCAAGGGGATTCAGTCCCCACTCTCCCACCCAAGGGGATTCAGTCCCCACTCTCCCACCCAAGGGGATTCAGTCCCAACTCCCCCACCCTAGGGGATTCAGTCCCCACTCTCCCACCCAAGGGGATTCAGTCCCCACTCTCCCACCCAAGGGGATTCAGTCCCCACTCTCCCACCCAAGGGGATTCAGTCCCTACTCTCCCACCCAAGGAGATTCAGTCTTCACTGTCCCACACAAGGGGATTCAGTCCCCACTCTCCCACCCAAGGGGATTCAGTCCCCACTCTCCCACCCAAGGGGATTCAGTCCCCACTCTCCCACCCAAGGGGATTCAGTCCCCACTCTCCCACCCAAGGGGATTCAGTCCCCACTCTCCCACCCAAGGGGATTCAGTCCCCACTCTCCCACCCAAGGGGATTCAGTCCCCACTCTCCCACCCAAGGGGATTCAGTCCCCACTCTCCCACCCAAGGGGATTCAGTCCCCACTCTCCCACCCAAGGGGATTCAGTCCCCACTCTCCCACCCAAGGGGATTCAGTCCCCACTCTCCCACCCAAGGGGATTCAGTCCCCACTCTCCCACCCAAGGGGATTCAGTCCCCACTCTCCCACCCAAGGGGATTCAGTCCCCACTCTCCCACCCAAGGGGATTCAGTCCCCACTCTCCCACCCAAGGAGATTCAGTCCGAACTCTCCCACCCCCGGGAAATCAGTCCGAACTCTCCCACCCAAGGGGATTCAGTCCCCACTCTCCCACCCAAGGGGATTCAGTCCCCACTCTCCCACCCAAGGGGATTCAGTCCCCACTCTCCCACCCAAGGGGATTCAGTCCCCACTCTCCCACCCAAGGGGATTCAGTCCCCACTCTCCCACCCAAGGAGATTCAGTCTTCACTCTCCCACCCAAGGGGATTCAGTCCCCACTCTCCCACCCAAGGGGATTCAGTCCCCACTCTCCCACCCAAGGGGATTCAGTCCCCACTCTCCCACCCAAGGGGATTCAGTCCCAACTCCCCCACCCTAGGGGATTCAGTCCCCACTCTCCCACCCAAGGGGATTCAGTCCCCACTCTCCCACCCAAGGGGATTCAGTCCCCACTCTCCCACCCAAGGGGATTCAGTCCCTACTCTCCCACCCAAGGAGATTCAGTCTTCACTGTCCCACACAAGGGGATTCAGTCCCCACTCTCCCACCCAAGGGGATTCAGTCCCCACTCTCCCACCCAAGGGGATTCAGTCCCCACTCTCCCACCCAAGGGGATTCAGTCCCCACTCTCCCACCCAAGGGGATTCAGTCCCCACTCTCCCACCCAAGGGGATTCAGTCCCCACTCTCCCACCCAAGGGGATTCAGTCCCCACTCTCCCACCCAAGGGGATTCAGTCCCCACTCTCCCACCCAAGGGGATTCAGTCCCCACTCTCCCACCCAAGGGGATTCAGTCCCCACTCTCCCACCCAAGGGGATTCAGTCCCCACTCTCCCACCCAAGGGGATTCAGTCCCCACTCTCCCACCCAAGGGGATTCAGTCCCCACTCTCCCACCCAAGGGGATTCAGTCCCCACTCTCCCACCCAAGGGGATTCAGTCCCCACTCTCCCACCCAAGGAGATTCAGTCCGAACTCTCCCACCCCCGGGAAATCAGTCCGAACTCTCCCACCCAAGGGGATTCAGTCCCCACTCTCCCACCCAAGGGGATTCAGTCCCCACTCTCCCACCCAAGGGGATTCAGTCCCCAC